CGCCCCGCGCATCTGAAGGTGAAGCCGAGCGCCCGCGGCGCGGAGCCGAGCGCTGCACTAGACCGACCGCGCCAGCTGCGCTCGGGCGCGGGGGACGCGCGAGGGCGCGCGGGGCCCGCCACGCGCCAGGCCCCCTCCCCACGCCGCCCGCGCGCACCCCGGATGCGCCCGCCCCACTGGGGCCCCGGCGCCGGCCCGCCTCGGGGGGCTGCGCGGCGCAGGGAGAGGGTCGGACGCCCGCGGCCCGGCGCAGGCCTGAAGCTTCCCCCAGCCCGGGAATGGTCTGCCCTGTAGGAAACGCACACGCTCCACTATTGTCTCATCAGCACAAAGTTCTGCCACACTGCGGAGAAAGTCTGGAGGCTCGCGATGACTCAGATCCAGCTAATCCTTCCCCTGATAGCACTGAATCACGACCCCAGCGGCTCGTGGTCGCCCCTCTCCTTAAGGTCTCAGGCTGCCGCAGCTCGGGCTCCTGGAGGCTGTTTACGCGCGCACACACACGCACGCATCCATACGTGCAGACGTGCTCGGGATGCAGGTCCAGCCGGCTCCGGCACCTGGGCGCGGAACCTCGAGCCCAGATTTCAACGTGGAGACCCTGCCCGCGGTCCCGGATGCGTGTGCGTTCGCCGAACTTCCTGCGGGAGTGTTTGTTGGGGTTCGGATTGGGAGACTCGATACTTCAAGCCCTCCAGAATCAAGAGCCAAGGGTCCGCGGGAAAGAGAACAGCTCCTCTGCCGAGTGGGGCTAGGACACGACTGTCACTGTTGCTGTTTACTTGGGCCTTGAAAGTTCAACTCATTTTGCTTTTGTTCCGAAAACTTCATTTGTGCACCTCAACTACTCTCCGGTCCTCAGTTAGTTGCAATAAATTGAGTTTGGGAATCAGAATCCTCATTTGACTCCCAAAAAGCTTTAATGGTTCTAGGCAAGGAGGGGCTGGGGAGGGGGAGGGGAGCTGGATCTGGAGGAGGAGGAGGAGGGGCCGGGAGCGCGCCCCGCGATCCGCGGTGACGTAGGCCAGGGGAGCTGTGGCCTGCGGAGGGGCAATACGATCTTCTCCCACCAGGCTCTAGGCCATATTGTTCTGCTTTTCCGCGTGATAACTCCGCAGTGGAGGTGGATTCCAGCCAAGACGCCCAACGTGGCTCGGCCTCACCATCGGCGCCGCAATCCGGGCGGTTACCTTTCGCGGTGGCATTGCTGGGTGCCCAGCTCTGGCTCGTGCAGCCCGTGGCCCTGCCCAGCTAGTGGCATATACAACAGAAACTCCTTCTGTACGCAGGAGCTGCAAAGGGCGGTGCTTGCGCCCTGGCAGCGTGGAGAGCAGGCGGGGGCCGTTCCATGTGCGTGTGTATGTGCGTTTCCGCGGAGCAGGGGGAGCAAGGAGGGAGGACGGCGAGCAAGGACCCCCGGATCATAAAATGTAAGCTCCGTGTGATTAATGATCGGCACTAATTTGCAAAGCAGGAGTGTTAAAGGTCATGGACAATTGTTGCTGGTTGCGGCCTGAGTGCCCAAGTGGGATGTATTCTTAAAGAATCAGATTTAAGTCTGATTCTCAGAAAAGTGTTTAAGTGCCCACAACTCATTACCATACACAGTGAAAATTCACAGATAGAAAGATGTATGGCCCAAGTCAGGAGCTGAATAGCGAGGTGATAGCGCGTAGACGCTCTGTGGACATCTCTTCAAGAGACCTTTTTTTTTTTAATGGATAAGGGTAAATGGTTAAATCTACATTCGTTTGCTTCTTGGGTCTAATTTCAGACTACAGGGTTGCACTAACAATTTCCATGTGTTGAAAAGTTGACAAGTTAGAGCAACAAACAGTGAGCAAAACTCAAACTCATCCACCTAAGAGTAAAACTTCCATGGTTCGCCTCCTTTTTCTAGCCTGCTAAGGGCCCATCAGTCCCCCCATGTGATTTCACTTAGGGCTTCCTCTGTCTGCAGGAATACTGAGCTTTTAAGTGAATTTCTTTCTTCCCCATTTCTCTACAATGCGGGCAAAATCTGAGAACTGTAACTTGATAGGTGGGTGAGAGTCAAACTCTGGTGCCAGGGTGGCAGACCTACAAAATGGCAATGTGGTGGCCGGCATGGCTTTCTTAGTAAGTGGAAATGTATTTACAGGCTGTACACAAAGTCTCTGGTCTTGGTTTGTTTGCCAACACACCATTACTAGCTAGTTCTATAAACCGAAAAATGGTATAAAATTCAATATTTAGTAAGATTTATGCTATTCTTATAACCATATTTAGCCTTGCCAAAACTTCAACTTTAATATCTTCGAACATCTAAAGTAGCATGAAAGATTGGGGACACTGTTGATACACAGAAAATAAAGCCTTGTGCTGCCTTGGAGAGGGTGTGGTGAAATGCTAAGTCAATTACAGTATTCTGAGCTGAGCAAAGTCAGCAGGATTAATGGTTAATATGTGGATATTTATAACTTTATAAAAGACAGTAATTCCAGTTGATAAAACAGATAAGGAAGAAAACCTTGATTTTCTGCCTGTTGTCCAGAGAATGACTTATTCAGCCAGGAGTCAGGCTCCCTCAGCAACTTGGTGAGACAGTGGGAACGTCAGAGAAGAAAAGTTGTAGAGGGATTCCAGCAAAGAATGTAAGTGAGAAACAGCAAAACAAAAAAGAGCCCTCGTCCCCCGCCCGAAGGCCTTGTCCACCTGAAAGCTCCATCTGGAACTCTGTCACATATAGCTCGAAATCCAAGACGAACTGGAAATCAAGCATGCAAGCTTGAAAAGGTAAGTATTGCGATCAGTTCAGTGCACTGCCTCTTAGTAAATATTTAATGCTGATTCTATTTGCCTTTTCTAAATTATATCTCTGAAAATCAAGGAGCCATCTTTGCTCTCTGAACTTACTGAAATTCACAGGTTTCAGAGGGGATTGGGGTAAATTTGATTGAAGTTGTCAACAAGGTTGTAAGTACAGCCTGGGAGGGTAGGGTTACGTGGTTCAGAGTGGGTAATGTTCCATAATACTAGAGACTGGAGATCTAATTACTGTTATTTCAAAAGCTAGCACGCCTAACTTCTCTCCGGAAACCTTGCTTTCTTCATGGAACTTAAAAAACTCAGAACTCTGAACTGAGACCTGGGAGGCAGGGCAGAATTGCACTTGGGCCTGGGTGTGTGAATACAGAATGGCACACACGGAGCTGCCTTGGAGGCAGCGCAAAGCTGGGGTTGTTTTCAAAAACATCCTTTGTGGGATAGGTCGCCTCAGCCCGTTTGAGTCTGAAGCTAACTCGTGGAATACTTTTAATACAGGTTGAGAAATTATCCCAGTTCTGTCCCTTAAATTTACATAATGGACTAGCCTCTAGTGAGAACTGTGCTCGTGTTACACTCACACTTTTCTCACTGAGAAACCTCTCGCATAGTCATTTGTGTGCCAGATAATTTAGGGTTCAACTGGCTGTGACTTAGAGGTAATCACAGTTGAGGCTTTCAAGACCTTTGAAAAACTGCTGAAACTAACTGTTCATCTCTCTGCCATATTCAAGCCTGGAGCGTCTGTGCCAAATGGACCCATTTATGGGATCTGGAGAACCCTTTACTCGTTTTTGTCCCCACGGCAGAAATCTTAAGAATTTTCTCGTGGAATCAGCACTTTTAACAATCTGTCCTTGTTTTCTACAAAGGAGGAAAAAAGAAAAAACCTGAACACCCCACACTGACCCTGACTCACAGGCCATTCTGTTCTTCTCATACTCATTTTTGTCCTGCATATATTTTGGGTACCGACAAAGGCTGCATAAGAGACACCGTGGTTGGATCACAGAGTTCGGGCACATTCCCAGTGGAGGCAAAAGTATTTCAGGAAGCCATGACAGTTGCATTTGCTCACCATTCACAGTTTTGGGATGACTCCATCAGGACTTCACAGCAGGTAGAGGGGCCTCAAACCTGGTCGTAATTTCAACGCAAGTGAAAGCCTGTTGGTAACAGCCAGCTTCAGACTAACTGGATCAGAATTCGACAGATGTGGTTCAGATGGCTTGAGAATCCAGCAGAACTCATTGAAAGAGAGACGGATTGAATAGGGGTCTCTTTTGAAAGCCTCCATGTGCAGGAAGAAAGGGACCTGGGTTTTTTTGTTGTTATTTACTATCTTTCCTTACAATCCCTTATGTCAATTGTGTCGTGTTAGCCCCACACGTTCTTAAAACAGCAAAGCCAAACCTCGTCGAGTCTCACCACGCATAACTCAGGTGCTCAGTTCTGCAAACGTTCCTAACAGAACTGCAAAGATAAGGGAACCAGTACTGGCTCTCCCTGCGGGTAGGTGAGGTACACTTGTAATGAAACCAAGAGGGAAGCGATGCCCCAAGACCTTTCCCTATGACACACACATTGCCTGAAGGGAAGCAGAAGTGGATCCAGGGGCCTCAGTGGCACCAGAAACAGCCAAGTGGAGGGAAGTGAGCAGGACGTGGATGAGTCGCCATGATGAGGCTGATGGAGAAGCGAGGTGCAATTTGTTTTGGGTTTTGGGATTTAGGGGTGAGAGGATCATGACACTTTAGAATATACAAAACAAAATTTGCCTTTTTAACCTTTTTTTTTTTTTTGGTGGAGCTAAGGTTCCACACTTGCAAAACAGGCACTTTACACACCTCTGGTCCATTTTGATCTGGTTATTTTGGAGATGAAGTCCTACAAAATTATTTGTCTCTGCTGGTCTCAAATGGTGATCTTCCCAATCTCAGCCTCCCAAGTAGCTGGGATTATAGGAGTGAGCCACTGGCACTCAGCCATTTTAACCACTCTTAAGTGTACAAACTTGGTGGTCATTGGTATAGCCCCAAAGTCGTGCCACTAGCTCTGTCCATATGTGGAACCGTTCCTTCATTCTAAGCTGAAACTCTGCAGCATCAAACACCACCTCCTGCTTCTCCTTCCTCTCCCGAGCCTGTCATCCTCCACCCTACTTTCCGTCTCTGAATTTGACTTCTCCAGAACCTAGAAGAACTGGAACCCTCCAGTACTCACCCTTTTGCAACTGGCTTAGCCTAATTTGTCCTCCATAAGACTCAGGGTTCATCCATGTTTTAGGGTGTAGCTGGACATAATTTTGCTCCTTAAAAAAAAAAAAAAAGACAGGTGAGCTAGGGATGTAGTTCTGTGGTAACGCATTTGTCTCCCACGCAAGGCCCTGGATTCAAGTCTTAAAACTAAAAAAAAAAAAAAGAGATTGTAACTAGAGTTTTCCATCCTTCCCCCAAAAAATCTTGCTAATGAGGCAACTGTCATTTCACCAAAAACAATTATCAAAAACTTCCTTTCGGAGGCTTGCTAAAGCATCTGCCTAGCCCTGAGTTCAACTCCCCAGTACCACCCAAAAAAAAAAAAAAAACCTAAAATAACCAACTTCCTTATCTACCTGTCTTTCTTTTCCCTCCTCTGCCTCAGCAGAAATCTGGTCAGGAGCCTCACCTTCCCCTCATGGCGTCTGCACACCTGTACCTACCTGGAGCCAGGCTAACATTTTCTCCGGCTAGCACGGTCTTCTCAGCGCTTATAACTTCATGACTTGTAACCAGACTTCTTCAAACAACAAAATAAAAAGCAGAGGAAGCATAGTATTAAGGCATAATTAAAACTAGGAGAGGGACTGGGAGCTAAGGTGAGCAGCCGGAGGAGGGGGCGTCCCAGCCTCTGGAGACACTCACCTGGGTCTCTGGACAGCGTAGACAGAAGCTTAGAGGTGGGCCGCTATGGATGCCAGTGCTCCACCATGGCCCAGACAGGTATCACACCAGAAATCAAGCTGAATTGGTGGGAGAGGTGTTCTAGAAGTAAATGGCTTGATGCCATCTAGCTCCTGACTGCAGAACTTGTCACACTTCTGCTTTTGTGTCTCACTGCACTGTGGGGCCAGTGGGAAACGAGGGAGATAACACGGGGTTGCTAAAACAGCTTATACGCGGACAGGTTTTAGACTGTTTCACACAGGCAGCCATCATCTAAAGAGCACCACGAGACTGACTATGGTGTAGCATGCCTGTAATCCCAGCACTTGAGAGGTAGAGGCAGGAGGAACTTGAGTTTGAGGACAGCCTGAACTACGTGACAAAGTCCTGTCTCGAAAGCCAGCAATGTAACAGGATATGGGTATCGTGACATTGCAGTGTTTAGATCCTAACTTTCACAACTGTACACTTGTTTGTTCCACATTTACTTTAAGCCAGGCATTTGTGTGTGTGTGGTACCGGGGCTTGAACTCAGGGCCTATCCTTTGAGCCACTCCATCAGCCCTTTTTGTGATAGGTCTTTTTGAGACAGGATCTCACAAACTATTTGCCCGGGCTGGCTTTGAACCTCGATCCTCCTAATCTCTGCCTCCAGAGTTGCTAAAGTGCTCATTTAAAACAGAATTTGTTGCCTGTCTACTATGCAGGGAATGCTCATAACCGCTGACGGTTCTGTGTCAGTGCTGTGTCACAATAGTTGAGAGAGAGGCCACTACATCCCAGTGGACAGAAGCCAAAGGAGAGGCTCACCGGCCACACCCCGCGCCCGTGCACAGAGCTGGCAGATGGCACGGCTGGACGCGGGCTGACCCTTACGTCCACAGGAACACCACGGCCCAGCTGTTGGGAAGGAGGCTTTGTAGAGGAGGAAGGTAGGCGTGTGCTTTCCCGTGACGGCTAGGGACCTAACCAGCACACCCGCATCCACTCCAGCTCGTCACACTGGCCTCTGGCATTTACCACTGAGGACGGCTGGCCTTCTGGACACCAGAGTTACATGTCTGTGCAGGAGCCTCCACTAGTTGATAGAGACATGGCCTCTCTGAAAATCTCTGTCACTCAGTTTCTCAAAGGGTTTGAACTGGCCTTTAAAAATGTATAAAATGCAGAAGGACAGCATTAAGTCGTGAGTGGAATTAGGTTAACATATATATATGAGGGAAAATTAATAAAGCAGGGTCCAGATTTAGCACAAGTCACGTTGATACATGTCTGGTTAGCCTATGAATTACAGGTGACAGAATTGTCCTTTGAGCTTCCTGGTATCCAAAGCAAAAAGGGAAACACTTTTATGAGATTTGTGCTCTGTATGAAACGGACTATATTCCCAATAACACTGCCACCAGAGGGAAAACTCTGTCCGTGTTCCTCATTGCAGTGTGGAGACAAAATGGTCAACCCCCAGTTGAGCAAGAATTACACTAATTACTTTATCTGAAAAGTGGGATCCACATGAAGAGTTATTATGAACAAGAGAAATGAAGATGTGAAAGTCACTGGACATTGTTGTCATGGTATAGTACCATGGACAAATGCAGGTACTTTTCCCCACAGTACTGGGATTTGAACTCAGGGCCTCATGCATCTTAGGCAGGTGCTCTACCTCTTGAACCACACCTCCAGCCCCTAAATTCTTTTCTTAACCTCACTGAATTCCCCCACAGTAGAGTCACCCATTTAAACAACATTCTAAAATACACATTAACTTGAGATGTTGTTGTAAAATACCTGAAAGCATTGAGAATGCTTTCCAGTGCTGGGTGCTGGTGGCTCACGCCTGTAATCCCAGCTACTGAAGAGGCAGAGGTCAGGAGGACCACGGTTCAAAGGCAGCCTGGCAAACAGTTCATGAGACCCTATCTCAAAAAACCCGTCACAGAAAATGGCTGGAGGAGTGGCTCAGGTGAAGGCCCTGAGTTCAAGCCCCAGTACCACAAAAAAAAAAGATTGCTCTGCAGATTTGCAAAGTTCTTAGAACTCTTAGACATGAGTCATTCTGCACTCATTTCTTTTTTTACCTGTTGATTTATAACGTTTAGGGACAGTTCCCAAGGACAGCCAGCGAGATGGCCCCCATGAACGAAGCCTGCCCACTCGTGCCTGTGGGGGCCGAGCCGGGCCGAGCTCTGATTTCCACAGGCAGGCAGAAGCCCGGAGGCTTCTGGGTACAGAGCTCGTCAGCACTTTCTTCCCCCTGTGAAATTCCAAAGCTGAGCAGCCTGGGCCTGAGTGCCAAGGGAGGCCTCCGACCACTCCTGGGCTCCCAGAAGCTTCTGGGGTGTGGACTTGAAGGCATCCAGGCATTCGAATAGCTGCTGCCCAGACAGGAGCAGGACAGGGCACTTTCACTTCTTTATTCCCTATGGCTTAAGCCCTCTGGCTTCTCGAAAGCCTTCACTTAAAATAAATGCAGGAAAGATGTGTTACACTGTGAGCTACAACACAACACAATCGGCCATTAAATACCAAACCCTGCTCAAACAAAGCTTATGACGGACTGACAAATTTACAAAAGGCAGGGACCCCAAAGAGGAGGGGCTGCCACCGCAGGCCTTCCTGTGGCGCTGAGCAGGCCCTGTCAAAGTACACCAAGGGAGGGCCTGGCCCCGCTTGTCCTTGCCCTCCGGTGGCCTCAGAGGTGGCCTCAGAGTTGTCAGGCCGCAGGAAGTTCGGGCACTGGTGAAGTGAAAAGGGATCCTTAAGCTGAAGTGGTCTCCCGTGTGTCCCTACCAACAGGCAGGAAAAGCAAGGTCCTCGCCCGGTCCTCCCACCACGGTGGTGGCCTTGTAGGTGAACCTCTCGGGCTGTTTACACTGCGACTTCTGCACGAGGCGGAGGGGAATGGCTGGGAAACCGAAATAAGCTCCACTTCTGGACGCTTAGTGGACAGCACGATTTCACCATTTGCCTTGGTGGAGGACATCGGAGCAGCATTTTTTTGGAGCAATACAAAAACACCAAACAGAAAAATGCATGCTGATGAAGTGTTGCATAAATGACTCGTAAACGCTGGTCTCCTCCAACCCCAAAAACTTTCCCTTTGTTTTCTAATTGGATGGCTTGCCCACATGTAGTCCTATGCGAACTTTTTAACGAACTTTCAATTACCTAAAACACAAGAAGAATTTCAAAAACTAAACTCTGAGGGCAGGAGACGTGGCTCAAGTGGTAAAGCACCTGCTCAGCAGCCCTGAGTTCAAACCCCAGTCCCATCAAAGGAGAAACAAAAAAACTACACTCTGCTCCATAAGAACTAGAACAGCCAGGCACAGATAGCTCACACCTATAATCCTAGCTACTGAGGAGGCAGAGACCAGGAGGATCGAGGTTCAAAGCCAGCCGGGGCAAATAGTCCCACAAGACCCTATCTCAAAAAAACCCTTCACTTTTTAAAAAGGGCTGGTGGAGTGGCTTAAGGTGTAGGCCCTGAGTTCAAGCCCCAGTATCACACACAGAAAAAGAACCTATAACGACATGATTTCATTTAATAATGTCTTTCTCTTCTCCCATTATACATTATTGTGCAATATGACTTCACCCCGTCTTACTGTCTGAAGTTGCAGGGAAATTACTGGCATATCCATCCTTCTCATTTCAGTTTTCCTCTACGCTAGATAAGTGAAGCAGACAGCAAAGCAAACTACACCTCAGTATGAGAGGAAGGTGCTCTAGCTTGGATCTGGAACGTACCCCAACAGCCCATGTGTTAAGGGCTTAGTCCAGGTGTGGTGCCACTGGGAGGGGTGTGGACCCTGAGGGGGTGGGACCTAGTGAGAGGAAGTTAGGCCATTGAGGTCATGTTCTCAAAGGGGACTCTGGTCTCCTCCTCCTTTTTTTTTTTTATGGTACTGGGGTTTGAACTCAGGGCTTGCCCCTTGCAAAGCAGATGCCCTGTGAGCCACACCTCCAGCCATTTACTCTGGTTATTTTGGAAATAGAGTCTCACAAAGTATTTGCTCAGGCTGGCCTGCAACCACGATCCTCCCAATTTCAGCCTCCCAAGTAGCTAAGATTACAGATGTGAGCCACAGACGCCTGGTGTCTTCCCTTTTATTCACTTCCCAGCATTGGCCATGAGGTGAGGCTTTTCCTCCATCATGTGCTCCCGCCATAGTGTACAATCTTGCCACAGGCCCAAAGGCAAGAAGGCAAACTGACCATGGACTGAAAACTCCAAAACTCTGAGCCAAAATAAACCTCTTTTTAAGATTATGATTTCAAAAGCTGGCTTACACACATTGTAAGGAAAATTTGGTTCCCTAATGCTATAAGAAAGCATAAAAAACAGATAAAAAGACAAATTTTGATTGAAAAACTTTAAAATATTGCATCAAAAATGATCTCAGGGATATAGCTCATGGGTAGAGCTTTTACCTAGCACGTGTGAGGCCCTGGGTTCAATCCCCAGCACTGCCAAAGAGACTTTCTTTGTCCACAGTGTGATGGGTGTCTACACCCGGGGGAAGGGGTTGTAAAAGGCAACATTTACTTCTTTTTTGCAGAGCTAGATACCCGTTTCCTAACTCAGACATAACACATAGAGCATGCCATAAGTGTGAAAGGCAGGGGTGATAAATTACAGGTAAGGATGAGCAAGACAAAAAAGCCTTAAAATGAGTGTCCCCGCCCCCAGCAGCAGTTGTTGCTTGTGTGTGAGTCCATGCGTGTGAGTCCATTTAAGAGTTAAAACTCAGAGCAAAGCTGTCCACTTTCCTGTGTGACAATCAGAAGAATGATCGAGAATTCCTGCATGTTTTTAAGACATATGGGTCTCAGTGTAGATCTTAGAATCCATCCCACAGTCTGCAAAGGAATCTTCTGACCGATTTTGTGAGATTTGTCCTGCTGCGTTATGAAATGAAGGCAGGGTCTTGAACAGTCGCTCTATTCTGCGTGATTTCTACATTTCTTAGTGGAATGGACACAGACATTTTCATGAGAGTGTTGAGTCTTGAACTAAGATTTTCTTGCAAAATATAGCAGCAGCGGGGCTGGTAGAGTGGCTCAAGTGATACCTCGACAGTCTACTAAGCCTGAGGCCCTAAGTTCAAACCCCAGTACCGCCAAAGAAAATGTAGCAG